TGTCTCTGACCTTTGAATTTCTTTTGCAGGGCTCAAGTCACATCCAGAGAGCCACATCAGTAGGTATGATCTCGTCTCTTTTTTCTTAATCCGGGTAGCTGTCCCCAAATTTCATTAGCTCATTAGTAGCTCATTATGTGAAGCCAATTCGCATGTCCTGCTCCATTTATTTCTACATTTAGCATGGGTGACCTTTTAAAACAAAGTCTTTCCCATTTCACCTCCTCTCAATCATGAGTTCTGGGGCCCTTAGTATCTGCATTTTGAAAGGCTGACCAAGTACTTTTTATGCAACTCTAATAGCTTTGTTCTTCTACTTAAGAAACATTTCATTGCTCTTTTACAAAGCAATTCCTGATGTGATCCCTATTGCCAAAGCCATTATGTATATGTGTATATATGCGTGGGTGGGGGGGGGGGTGTGTGGTGTGTGTGTCTATACACACACACACACACACATACACATATATATACACATATATATAGACTTAGGCTCTTTTAAAAAATGTTTTATGAAAAATCAGTATGTATTTAGTTACTGGTACCTTTTTTTTTTTTTTTTTTACCGCCATCACCAATAAAATTTGTCATTGGAGGAGGGATCAGAAGGAAATGTGGGTATTCTAACTTATTGATTAATGTGTGTCAGTGACAAATTTCACCACTAAGTTGTAAAATATTTCTTTTCTTTCAGGTATTTATAACAGCAATGATGTAGCAGTATCATTTCCAAATCTAGTATCTGGCTCAGGATCTAGTACTCCTGTCTCCAGTTCTCATTTACCTCAGCAGTCTTCTGGGCATTTGCAACAAGTGGGAGCTCTGTCTCCATCAGTGGCATCATCTGCAACCCCTACTGTTGCTACAACTCAGGTACATTATAAAATAACATGAAGATGGTTTATCAGTTTTGAAAGTGAGTTTTATTCGAGGAGAGAGAAATGAGATAGGGCTTCCTATAGGAATTTATAGAGTATCTTCTCAATTTGTATTGACATGTTAGTGGAAATCATAGACATTTTTACATGATAATCATGAAAGAAGACAAATGTTGGCACCAACTGATTATTTTCTGAGTTTCTAAATTTTTTCTAATGATGTAAAATAGTAATTTGGGGGGTGCTTTTATTATTTCTTTTAGAAAGTTGGACTTTTTAAAAGAACTATGAACCAATTTTGGACTTGTGGAATTAAATTTATAATTTTAAAATCCACACAAATAATGTATGAATAGCTTCTAAGTTTTTAAAACCAGTGTAGGAGAATATAGAATAAAAAGTGAATATAGAATAAAGAGTGAATGATCCCTTTAAGTACAATATGACTTTCCTCCTAGTGGCAGAGAAGAAATGTTCATAAATATTGTAAATAATGGTGACTATGCTGTTGGTTTTTTATTTATTTATGCTTTTCCTCCACTTTTGATCTGTAATTTGATAGGTGATCTAGTCTACAGGAATGCTTTAAAAGCAAGAGTCAAATCAGAAAAATCATGATCTTGAATTACTTAAAAAGGACAACAAATGCGCAAAGCTATGTACACACACACATACACACACACCCCTTCTCCAGCCCACTCTTACTCCCACATTTCCCTAAAGGTAATATATTAAAATTCCTAAAGTATATAAAATATTTATTTATTTGAAATTCTTTATTATTTTACTTTTATTTTATACAAAGCTCTAGAAGTAAGTGTTAACATTTTGAGAAAACAGTGATAAATGTCTAATTGCAAATAACTAAATAGTTGTTTGTAACTTGCTATAAACTTATGCTTTATGTATGTCTTCATAATTTCCATTGTATGGGCCTTTAGAATGTATATACTTTTCTAGTATTTTCTTTAGGCTGTACATCAAAGCACAGCATTGTTATTTTTAAAGTATGTAATGGTGCAGTATAAACAATCACCATTATAATTAGGTTACATATTAGAATAAACAACAGACAGTTAGTCACAGAAAATCAATGGCATAATTAGTGGTATTATCTTTGAAAATGAAAGTTAACTATTTGGTGAGCCTCTTAACCTGAATAAGTGGAGTTTGACTGTTTTAGGAGAGTTCTTCTTTAGGGTATTTCACTAGCCTTAGTGAAGTAGTCATAATAATAGGGACTTGGAGATAGACTGGGTGAAAAGATGAATAGCTTTATGTTTTTATTTTATCTCTTTTAATTTTAATTGAGTGTAGCCATATGCTGTTGATAGCTTTATATTCTTGGATAAAGTCTCACAGGAACATTTTCACTGCATTTTTCTTTCTTTATAAAGTCTGTTTTAATTACTCTCTGGTTAATTCCAGGTTGATTTAAGCAAAAATCTCATTTCTTCTTATTCATTATGTTTGTGGTTTTAGGGGTTGGCATTAGGGAGGTTGATGGGGGAAGTGGTGGTAAAGAGAAATTTATAGCTTGAGGGAAAATTCCACTTAACATATGACACAACTAAAGAACAAAGAAATCACAGTTGCAAGTAATCCAGGATTCAGTCCAATTAAAATCTTTAGTGTTTATCCTCTTTCCATGTTTCAATAAGATGGGTCTCTCATAAATGTGATCAGCCAGTTAGACTCAAATGCTAGCTACATGCTGAGACAACTGTATCTATGTTTCAGTCCAGCAGTAAAGGCTTTCTGCCTTTAAGCTGCAGCTTATTTAGCCTGGCTTATCTGGTGCTGCTGTAGCAACCATCAGTCTCCAGGCAACTGAGGCAGGTTGACCTCTCAGTTGAACTGAGAGCAGAACTACTTCAATTTAGCCGCCTGAGACAATAGTCTTGGTATTGAATGTGCAAAATGTGAATTTTCTAGGCGGTGTGCAAGGGAAAGGATACAAAAATGTTTAGAATAAATAGAATGTTTAGATAGGACTGTTAAAAATTGTGATGTAGTTGGTAATTGAATCTTTTCAAAATGACAAAAGTTTATTTCTGGTTTACTTTCATATAGGCCCTCTTTGTTTTCAGTTCACGCAAGTCATTGTGTTTAGATAATCAGATCCTAGCTTTTTATATAGGTTTTTTTTTATAGGTAGTTGATTTAAAGTTAAGAGAGCAGTGCTATAAGATATATTAAAATGATCAATATTTAAAGTGTAATTATAGAAGTCTTGTTACAGTTATTAAGAAAACCATGACATGTAAATCAGCGAATAGAAATGTTAAATTTAAATAATGTTTTGCCTCTCTCCTTTCCCCAAAAAAACTTAATGAAAGTTGTAATTTTTAGTGACTGGGTTGGTGTCGGCAGGAAGAATCCAGAGGTGATTCTTGATCTTTCTGGCCTTGCTTTTAGATAGGCCTCTTGTTTAGATTAATTGCTATTTTAAGAATTGTTCCCTGCAAAGTGGTCAGGGAGGTAAGATCAGGAAGCTAACAGAAATTAAAACTGGGAATAGATTTGTGCCTTTAATGGGAACGAAATGAGATGTTTTTGTGTGTTAAGGGGGGGGGGGGGAGGGTGCGGGGGAGAAAGCTGTCTGATGCTCAGAACCCTGATTTGAAAAAACCTCTTAGAGCCCTTTGTACGCCATAAGTGTCTATAGAATAAAAACAAGATGTGGGGATGGTTTCCGTTTTGGATGCGTGGCAGTTCACTGGTTAATATGTTGAATAATTCAGCTTTGTTTTCTTCAGTGTTAAATCATTGTTTTATTCAATATACTTGTTTTTAGAATAATTATTCTTTCACATATCAGCAATATAGTTAAATTATAGTTCTTTTTACATTATTGGAAGATAGAACTACTGTCCATGTGATTTTCTTAATGATGTGCTATGCTCTTGTTGTATCATGAGTATAGGTATAAATTGGTTTCTGTAGGACTGCCATTAATTTTCCATCTTGCCTTTCACATTCCCCTCTGTTTCCTAGTTCTACATTCATTCTGTTCTGTCTTTGGGAGAATTCAAGTGCTTTTGTTTGAAGGATGATTTCTTTAATAGAAGAATTTAAGGCTGAATATGTTGAAAAAAATTTGTATTCTAATATATTCTGCATTCTAGGTTTTGCTTTTGGATACAGTCTTCATGTAGATAATCCTGGTTCATTGTTTACTCTGTGTTGCTGTTATAAAAAGGATATAGATTAAAAATAATTTAAATAAAAGAACTTCCAAGGTTTATGTGATATTTAGTAAATTAAGATATTTAAGTATTTTGAAGGTACAATATAGTGGCTAATGTTTTATAAATTTCTGTGTGACTTTTACTTCAATTATGAATATTTTGTTTTCTAGTAGCATAACTTTGGGCGTGTGTGTGTGTGTGTGTGTGTGTGTGTGTGTGTGTGTGTGTGTTTTGGGGGAGTTGTCTTAGATGTAGGCCCTTAATTTCCTTTTCAAATGAGGTGTCTAATATTATGGACACTTTCATTCTGTTTGAGAAAATGGTTCACTTTCCCACCAATTCACCTGGCTTGATTGGTCAGAATGAAAGTTTCAATAAATCTATCCTATCTAATAATAGACAAACATGGTAATTGACCGTACCTTCGCTATGCCTCTCATTGGCTAATCAGCGTGATATGCAAATTAGCCGCCAACAAAGATGGCAGCTAATTTGCATACTGCAGGCAGGGCGGGACAGCGCCATCCCGCCTGCCCTGCCGCCATCTGGGCCTGCTATCTGCAACCCGGGGTGGCGGGCGGCCGGGTGGTGCAGTGGCGATCCGCCACGCGCCGGCCTCTATCCGGCCCTCCCGCGGGGGACCCGGGGCTGGCGGGCGGGACCGTGGTGATCGGCCATTTGCCCGGCCTCCATCCGGCCCTCCCTCGAGGGCTTTGAAGGTGGCTCCGGCCAGAGCAGCGAGGGCTTTGAAGGCAGTTCCGGCTGGAGCTGTGAGGGCTTTGAAGACGGCTCTGGCCGGAGCAGCGAGGGCTTTGAAGGCAGCTCTGGCTGGAGCAGCGAGGGCTTTGAAGGCAGCTCTGGCTGGAGCAGCGAAGGCTTGAAGGCGGCTCCGGCCGGAGCGGCACTGGTTTTCCTCCGGCACCCGGGACACAGGCCTATTGCACGAATCTTTTCGTGCAACAGGCCTCTAATATATATATAAAAGCCTAAGCGACCGTCTGACCATTCACCCGTCCCACCAGTAGCTATGATGCGCAATGACCACCAGGGTGCAGACGCTCAACACAGGAGCTATTGAGCTGCGATGACTTGGCAGCTGCGGTTCTCAGGTGACACACCCGGAACCAGAGAGGAGTGAACCCAGTTCCAGGATGCGTCACCCGAGAACCGCCCTCTCGCAATCTGGGACCTCTCGGGGGGGATGTGGGAGAGCTGGTTTTGGCCCGATCCCCACAGGCCAAGCCGAGGGACCCCACCAGTGCACAAATCCATGTGCCGGGACTCTAGTAAATTTATAGTGATTATAATTTTAAGGAAGTTAACATTTTGAGCAAAATAAGTTTTTATCAGTGCTCTGTAACGTCACTTGGATGATGTAAAGGTCAAAGTAACTGCACAAGGTCACATGTCCAGTTTGTGGTGAAACTTAAGTTTGGAAGCAAGGCAATCTGACTACTGAGCCTGCTCTCTGGTTTACCAATCTGTAACATAAAAATGAATTTTCCAATCATGGGTCTCTATGTTACTAGAAAGAGGTATCTTTTTGAAAAGTATTGTTAGGAATTTTACTGTTTCCATTTGTGTCATACAGTGAAAACTAGCAGAAATTTGAGTCAGAAAGCTTGGGTTCCAAGAGCTTTGCCACTCACTAGTGTAACTGTGGGCAGGTCTTATAAATTTGTGGGCATCATTTTTTTTCATACATAAAATAAAAACTTTAAATACCTGTTCTACCTGCCATACATGTATGTTAGGAAGTTCAAATGAAAATAAGTACTTTGCAGACTGTAATGTACTTTGGAAT